ATGTAGGTTTTTAACCTCACATTAACAACATTTGGATTACTTGACGAGGTAATTATACCACAATTTTATAGTGTAGAATCCCTTGATAAATTAAATAGCCTCAAAAATAAGAACAAAAATGAATTTAGCAATTTAAAAATAGAATGGGCCTAACGGATTGCCATTCTGGTGACATATAAACAGAAGTTCATAACAAATGGAAGAAATTCGAATCACATGTTTTATTTACAGCGTGGGATGAAAATAGAGAAGTCTGTACATTAGATATTTTTGGTCGAGTTTTTGACCACTGGACGACCTCTAATCGACAATCAATAACACATCAAGACTAATGTATCGTGTTTGTGTGTGTATAGCTTTCTAGAGTTAAGTGTTTAGTATTATTATCCGATGTATAGAAATAAATTGTTATCTTCAATTACGTCACTTCTATTCAAAGATTTCTAACGAAATGAATTAGAACAGTAGTGATTCCAAACAGCGAATGAATCATTAGATATTCTAACGTCTGACCATGAATATAGTCAATGGAATATGGGACCGATGGAAGTCATTTTCAACCGAATTCGAACAAAATATGAACAGCTTTTTAATCGATTTCGAAAGATTCTTTGAAGGAACGCATGAAACAGCAAGAGAAGATTCAATTACAAAAGGAGAAGATGGTAAGTAATGTTGTAATCCCAACGTTAAAGTACAGTTATTTTTCTTTTTCGACCATCAGTTTAAGTACTGTTTTTGCATAGTTTATGCATAATCTGTAATGGATAAGTTATCCTTTGGTATTAGATGATCCTGTGTATGTACAAGTCCTAACTCTAACTTTATGGCCTATCTTTAAATGTAGTTTATCTTAATAACATAAAAATAATTACTTAAACCGATGTCAATGATTCCTTTGTAAATTATTATAAATATTGTGGTGCTACAACAACAAAATGCGCTTATAACTGTGCTTATAATGTGCTTAAAACTTATTTTGAACTAAGGGAGGCACTCTTAGTCAACATCTACAAACTTACTGGAAATGATAGGAAGACTTAAAAAGTATTCGATTTTAAACATTGAGATAAAAAGTTGAATCCTAGTATGGAATTAGTTTGGTATTATTCTACAATGACAAGTGTTATATTTTAATTTGGAATCCATACAATTTTATTGTTGGTTTATATTTCTCCAGTAACACATGTTTTGCCAGGCGTCATAAGCTGTGTTCTGTAAGTTAGCTAACTCAGTAAGGTATATTTTGTAATCGTTATTTTTTTTACTTATGCCTAAAATTATCTAATTATGTATTATTTTGATCAATGCATTGTAAATGCAATACAACATGGAAAAAGAATGGTGGCGAAATTTCGAGATTTTTCGTAAAATTCAAGCAAACATTCTAACCAGAAAAACTTCGGGTTATTTGAGAAAAAGTTTTTTACGATTTTCTTTATAATTACATTCTACATACATACTTAGCTCATATTCAACTATGCAAACGTACGTTTCCCTGCTTAAAAAAATTATGTGGTTTATTATATGAAAACTTAAAAATGCCTATCTTCTTTAAGGTATTATATATACAGGGTGGCGCAGATGGATCGGGTGGTTTTAAAATACTTGTCAAACTGTCAATTCTAAAGGTATTGGATTGAAATAAAGTGCAAAACGTGTAGTTACAATGGAAGTTCATTGACAAAAAATTTGTTAAGTAAGTTTTTAAAAATTACATCCATCAAATGCCTTCCTTGTCGAGCGACGCATTCTTGGAGTCGGTCCTTGAGGTTCCGTGCTCGCTAAAGCACATCACCAGGAATTGATGTGATTTCGTTGTGAATTGCAGCCTTCAACTCCTAAAGCAAGGGTCTACATGAAAAAAACCCTGGACCATTCAGGAGTTGAAGGCTGCAATTCACAACGAAATCACATCAATTCCTGGTGATGTGCTTGAGCGAGCAATGCGGAACCTCAAGGACCGCCTCCAAGAATGCGTCGCTCGATAAGGAAGGCATTTGATGGATGTAATTTTTAAAAACTAACTTAACTAATTTTTTGCCAATAAATTTCCATTGTAACTACATGTTTTGCACTTTATTTCAATCCAATACCTTTAAAATTGACAGTTTGACAAGTATTTTAAAACCACCCGATCCATCTGCGCCACCCTGTATATATAAGAAATAGTTTAAAATAGTGCACGAATATACAACAAGAGTACCATAAATCCCACCGTCATGTAATACAGACCTTACAAAAACCTTAGGTTTATTATTAATTAAAACGAAGGCCTTTAATATTTCGACAATATAAAGAAGTTTTTTCCTAATACATATATTTTGTTCCACATAGGCGGACCTACGTTCTACCAGATCCCGTATATCAGAAAGAGTACAACCATTGGTGACTAGCCGGATTTAAACCACGGTTCCTACCAGTAACTTTTTTTTACTGTCCCACCTTCACATCCTAGTGCGCTAGGTTCTAGCCCGGAACTGTTTAGCACACAGGTTCAAGCTAGTACTAGAGGTTGCGCATTATCACTTAAAATCCATTTGTGATTGCCGGGGTTTGAACCCGTACCTTGGACACCGAAGCCCCGCGCTCTACCACTAGACCTTACACTCTGATAACATTTAAGTATACTCTATGTTAACCAGGATTTTCATTTGCAGAAGAGTGTGAGGACGCTGGGAAGACATACAAAGTAGGAGAATCCTGGACCGACGAGGGAGAATGCAACCTGAAAGTGTGCCACCCTAGAAAGGTCATCTCAGTTAGAAAGTTAGTTGTTGCTAAACGTAGCTTAGCTATAAAAAAGTCATTGCAGATCATTCTGACTTATAATCAACAAATTTTATCAAATTATTAGCCGATTCCGTATGGGGAAGTAGTAAAATAGTACTCATGGTAGGACCTAAGTTCTACATTGAATATCTGAGTCTCTACGAAAGCTAACAATGGTTTTTAGGTTTTAGCGAATTTCCCATATAGGGAATAAGCTATTGCCGTAGTACTCGTAGTAAGACCTGGGCCCGGGACCTATTAACATTTTACAACAAAAAAAAACTTGTTTACCCTAAGTATTCGTTAAACTAATTATATTTAAATAAGGAATAAGTGCGATAATTCCTAGGAGGCATTTTAGTTTAAATCCAATCAGGCAAATGAAATTCACTTAGTGTGCAGGTTTGCTGCAGCGGGGGTGTTTTTTTTTTTTTTTTTTTAGTTAGGATCAAACTTTTAGATTGCCAGATACTTCATTTCTAGAACCAGCTTGTCCCAAATATACAAAGTGGGGTTGAAGTTCTTTTACATTATTGTTAAACGTATGCTTTAAACATAAACGACATGCATAATGCTAAAGCATTAAGTGTAAATATATTGTATCGCCAAAGCACTAGTGTACAAACTGATATAGCTGGGAGTTCATGAGGATGACATTCTAAACCAAAACGGTTTTCGTATGTAACCAACAAGGTCATAAGAGTAGCTTTAAGAATTTTTGTAACGAACAGCATCTTTTTCAAAATAGGGAAAGATTAGGGAACAACAGGTAACGCCAGTTATCGTTAGTCTCATTGTTAAGACGTAGAATTAGGTGGGGTAGGGGGTTGAAACTTAAGACATTTGGATAACTAATTACAGAAAAGAATGTGTGTTGCTAGCCTAGTGCTTGGCGTCTCGGGCTTTGTTGGGTGAGTACGGGGTCAATTCTCGGCACAGCCACAAAACTCAAATTGGTTTAGACCGCTTTCCCCCTAAAATTGAAAAAAAAATACATCTGGCGTAGACACAAGCAAAAAAAGACAATTTATGCAATAAAGTAAAACCAACCAGTTTATTTCCAAGCGCTAGACCTTTATGTAAACCAGTCAATATGTAACTACAATGCATGGTTAAATGAAATGTATATAGTTATATAAAAGGTTCTTAGTAGTTACATAAGTACACCACACGGTACAGTTCCATTGTAGCCTCTTCACATTGCTCGTGCTCATAATACAGCATTTTATGATTTAATGCGTTTTTCACTTCTAAAATGATTAATTTTTATAATTTCTTCTTTCAGGTGCCCAGAGTGGGTGGCCCCAAAGCAGTGTCGAACTCAAAATCTGTTCAAGTTAAAAAATTTCCCTGACTGCTGCCCCTCAGTGTTATGCCCCATAACAACAAACGTGATACCACCGAAAGTTTTATAGTGGACAAGTGGAAAACACTAACAACTTATAAATCCTTTCTTAGTCCGTAGAGAAACATGTTTTATATGATCACTCAACTTTGTAACTTAACACAACATAACACTACGGTACATGCATTACAATTATCTTCACTATTACCTAATAAATAAAAATTTAAAAAATCCTTGTTCTGTATCTTTTTTACATATGTACATAGAACCTGTTATCAAATTAAATTATATGAAATATATATTACCATTGAGTGTTAGACTTAATAGTCAACACATCTGACATTCTTACAATTGTATACTTAAAATATGTTATTAATAATAGGTATCTTTATAGCCTTTATAATTTTTTTTTTTAGCAATGTGTAAAATTAACTATTGTTAAGATATGTTTGAATGGAGAATTATAAGTAAATTATGCACTTGGCTTTAAAATATGTAAAATATACATTGAAGATCGAATTCTCACCACATAGAAATTTTTAAATATGTTTAACACATTGGCAAATAGCAATTACAGCAATACTGCGAGAAATGATTAAATGCCAAAGCAAATCTATTTTTCAACGGTGTGTGCAAACAATTACCAATAAAATATACGTTTTGCTAGTACGCCGTACCAATAGTATGTTTTAAGAATTGGGTAACTCTATTTCGTCAAGTTTGAGCAATACATACATTATTGATAAACCAATAATTGAGTAACATCTCTTATCTAAGGGTACTTTCTTTATCATTGACCACCGAATTATCAAGAAAGATAAGAATAACGCAATAGCAGCTGTTTCGTTTGAGCAGCTGATGAATATGATTTTTGACTTCGTACAGTAGCTACACATATTGTAATGGCGAAAAAAAGAGAACTTGACGAGCAGAAATTAAGGGAGGAAATTGAAAGGATAACAAAGAATGATAAAAGTAAGTAGAATAGTTGAAAAATAACTTACAATAGAAATAAATAATTATTATTCTTTAATCTTTAATTTTTTAAGATTTTGGTTTTTTTCTATATGATTTTCAATGATCCATTATTTAAAATAAAACGTTTATTAAATTTGTTCAGCTTCGTTAGAATTAAAGTGGCACTCAGTGAAACACAATTTATCTTAGAATTGAAGATTTTATGTGGATATAACATAAATGTTGTGTTGGACGGTATGTTTTCTGCAATCGATTAATAAACTCGAACTTTTCCTTACATTCAAGGACTTTTTGGGACCAAGTAACACAAGACTTGCACAACAATATAAGGAACATATTTAATTGATTGTTCTATAATGGTTATTTTGCACGAATACTCGTATCCCTTAACTTAAGAAATCATAGGATATCAAGTTACGGTCTTATTACAGGATAATCTTTTAATACAGACCAACAGAAAGCTATACCTTTATTAAAAAGTGAAATATTCTATAAAGAGTGGGTTTTTGAGCAATATTACCATAATATTACCATAGGTTTTGTTAGTATTCAATATTTAAAACTGTGTATATTTTCTTTAAAAAATTAATGTAAACAACTATTTACAGGTGTGTGTAAATCAGGGGGTAAGACATACAAAGTGGGGGAGACTTGGAGGGACAAAGGAAAGTGTGAAGTGAGAGCATGTCACCCCGGAGGTCTAATCTCCGTCATGCCGTGAGTATAAACTACTATTTTTGGTAACCGATAAGATTGATTACTTAACTGACTTTTGCAGTGTCCCACAAACGTGTAGACGTTTGGTTTTATGTTACTTAGCCGTCTATGCACCAAACATTTTGAAACTGTTCAGAATAAACCTTCTGTCTGTAGATTGTAAAAGAAAACAAGTTAGTTACATGTTTTTTACAAATAAATATTATATGCGTATATTTTCTACTTTCCTATAGGATGTTGTTGGAATTATTAAGATCCCTATATGGGCCATAGTATAAATAATGTAAAGAAATAGCAGTATAGTCTTTAAAGACTAGTTATGTCCGTTAACCCAACTATTCCTCAACTTATCATCAAATTTTTCAAATATCTCATAGCTCTGTCTATATTTTTTCAACCGACAGCAAACTGAAATTGCCACAGTAAGTGGAAAACCAACAGACTCACCTAATGAATATTGTTTTCCTTTTTAGGAAAGGTGTACAATTCACACTTAAATCCACGCCCAACATAGATTATATTTCTAAATTTGAAACCATAGTGACATTTCATTTTTGTTTACTCTAACCAAATACTTACCACCTTCGACTCGTAGGCTTACAGGTTATAACATATAAAAAGTAAACATAAAAACTCATAAATACAAATATTTTACAAAATCCAGTATCTAGTCATCTTCACCAGTGTATAACCATTGCCTACAAGTTAATTTAATTGTTTTTACAATTTTCATCCCTAACGCATGTAAGTGCCAAATATTCTTCTTTCACCGTTTTTGAAAATCTCACCGTTTAATATACTTTACTTTACTTTATACTTTATACTTTCCAATGAAATCGCGACCATACAAAGAAGTATTTTTCAGGTGCCCAAGGTTTATATATGACAAGAAGAAGCCACGACCAGATTGTGCTACAGTGCCCGGCGACACGACCCTAGAGTACCCTGACTGTTGTGAATATGTCTACTGCAAGCCCAAGATTGACAAGCCAGGATAATACTGCAAAGACTAGATGAAAAGACTATTCTGGTTAGGTTACTGCTTGATTTTAATATCGTATTACAACTTTCAACTGACGTGTTGGTAAATTGATTAATGAACCCTGAAAATAATTGTTCCATAGAGAAGTAAGGTACAGATGAAGCTTCAGAGGCGGTCGTGATACTTAAGGGACGGTCGTGATACTTGAGGGACGGTCGTGATACTTAAGGGACGGTCGTGATGTTTCCGGGACGGTCGTGATACTTGAGGGACGGTCGTGATGCTTAAGGGACGGTCGTGATGTTTCCGGGACGGTCGTGATGTTTCCGGGACGGTCGTGATACTTGAGGGACGGTCGTGATGCTTAAGGGACGGTCGTGATGTTTCCGGGACGGTCGTGATGTTTCCGGGACGGTCGTGATACTTGAGGGACGGTCGTAATGCTTGAGGGACGGTCGTGATGCTTGAGGGACGGTCGTGATGCTTAAGGGACGGTCGTGATGTTTCCGGGACGGTCGTGATGTTTCCGGGACGGTCGTGATGTTTCCGGGACGGTCGTGATACTTGAGGGACGGTCGTGATGCTTGAGGGACGGTCGTGATGCTTGAGGGACGGTCGTGATGCTTGAGGGGCGGTCGTGATGCTTGAGGGACGGTCGTGATGCTTGAGGGACGGTCGTGATGCTTGAGGGACGGTCGTGATGCTTGAGGGACGGTCGTGATGCTTGAGGGACGGTCGTGATGCTTGAGGGACGGTCGTGATGCTTGAGGGACGGTCGTGATGCTTGAGGGACGGTCGTGATGCTTGAGGGACGGTCGTGATGCTTGAGGGACGGTCGTGATGCTTGAGGGACGGTCGTGATGCTTGAGGGACGGTCGTGATGCTTGAGGGACGGTCGTGATGCTTGAGGGACGGTCGTGATGCTTGAGGGACGGTCGTGATTCTTGAGGGACGGTCGTGATGCTTGAGGGACGGTCGTGATGCTTGAGGGACGGTCGTGATGCTTGAGGGACGGTCGTGATGCTTAAGGGACGGTCGTGATGCTTAAGGAACGTTCGTGATACTTAAGGGACGGTCGTGATACTTGAAGGACGGTCGTGATGCTTAAGGGACGGTCGTGATTCTTAAGGGACGGTCGTGATGCTTAAGGGACGGTCGTGATGCTTAAGGGACGGTCGTGATGCTTAAGGGACGGTCGTGATGCTTGAGGGACGGTCGTGATGCTTAAGGGACGGTCGTGATGCTTGAGGGACGGTCGTGATGCTTGAGGGACGGTCGTGATGCTTGAGGGACGGTCGTGATGCTTGAGGGACGGTCGTGATGCTTGAGGGACGGTCGTGATGCTTGAGGGACGGTCGTGATGCTTGAGGGACGGTCGTGCACTTTCAGCTCTAGTATTGTAAACTCACCTCACAATATTCATTTTAGGCTAGGCCTATTCTATAAATGTTTAAAGTTAATAACAAAGATATATGAATTACTAAAGCTATTTTATTGAATTAAATGAACAAATGTGCAATGGAATTTAAAAGGCTATTACGTTATAATGAAAGGACTGACAATGGAGTGTGGGCTGAAATTAAAATAAAATAGAAGATAAGTTTTAAACAAAGGTTCAAATTTACAATAGGGCATAGTATAAATTTAGATGTACTGTACTATATCTCTGGGTAGGGTGTCGTGCTGGCTTGAATGCTAAGAATTATTAAATTAAATAATGTAAAAATAATTAATGTGTTAAACTTACAAAATCCCAACAATGAAAATTAAATTTTGAGGTTGTCCAAAAGGTAAGCCCAATATGCACTGAATTTAAAAGAGTTTAAAAGTTTATACTTAATTTTGAAAATATGTTGGAGTTAGTCCTCTTGTGGTTGACTATAACATAACTTGAATATGAACTGTTTTTTTCTTGATGATATTAATTCATTTAATTTAGATAAAATCTGGACTCCTTATTTTAACAGATTCAACTTCAACTATGGCTTCCCCTTCTCTTCTCAACCTCAATGTTCACATAGGTCTATTGTTGAACACATGGATCACTGTATCACTGTTTCTTAAATTTTGATTCCTTAAGGACTAATTTTGAACATACATTATAAGAAATTTTGATATATTGCAATTCTCTTACAAATTTAATAAATAAACAAGTTTTAGGCTTTGTAAAAAAAATATGTATATATAGGCTACGGAATGAATATTATTAATTATTAATTGAACAGATTAATGAAATTGTATAAATTAGGAAAATGAATACTAGGCCAGCCTTTCTGAGGAGTGATTAATAACAAAGGTGTATGAAGAAAAGTTAACATTTTAAGAAACATAACAATAAATAATGAATGAATGAAATGAAATATTACAGTATGTTGTGCTGGAAATATACTTGTGACGAGCAAAGCTTTGCACTGGGTGAAAATACCTATCGCATGGGGCACAGGATTTTCCTCTACCGCGAGTATTGTAGTAGATGACGACGGGGGGGGGGGGGGGGGGTAGGTGTTAAACTTGGCCCCAGACATTAGTGACTGGGGCTATAGAACTACTAGTGCTAGACACCAATTAAGAGTCCTTGGCACAAAGACCTTCTAACTTAGAAAACAACGACAAAACTACAAAGAAAACTTCTACTCTCTTAGTGACCTAGATATTTAAAGTACAATCCGGTTACCTCCCGCTATCTCCGCGTCCCGCCATCTCCGTGTCCCGCCACCTCCGAATTTCAGAGTGACCCCTATAATCCTCGGTTACTACATGCGTTAAGGCTTTCTGTCCTAACCTAACCAAACCTAACCTAACCCACGGGTTAAATTTTCGTTAAAATCTTCCATCCACGAGGCTTCAATAAAAAATATATGGGATAAGATCAAAAATGTATTAATCTTGGTAAAATTATTAACTCACTAACAAAATTCAATCTGCAATGACAGCTACCAACGCAGGCAGTGACGGGATTATAAGGGTCACTCAAGAATTCGGAGGTGCTGGGACAGATTTGGGTTCGGAGGTGGCGGAACGCGGAGATAGCGGGAGCACACGGTACAATCCCTTTGGTATTTGAGAAAATATTGTAAGATGGTAAATAATTCTTCAGCGGCAGTTTGAAATTAACTAAATGAACATTGCTCCTATATGGCGGGTAAATGCAAGATGTCAATTAGCTTCCATGGTTTCCCTTGGAAAACAGTTCAAAGCTACAAATAAAATTTCTAATCTTGTATCCCTTTATAATGTGCCAATTAGGGAATACGCTTAATTTAGGGAATAATCTCAATAAGCTAGGTAGAAGTAGTGTGAGAAATTAATAATGCAAGTTTTTGTATACTCTATATTCTTCATAATATTCTCAAAACTAATACCTACTCTCCACATTCAAATAAAATAATTTGGCGATACATAAACCCCTTCACCAAATTTTTTTTAATTATCCAAGATGGCCTCTAGCCTCCAAATTGGATGGTGAACTCTGTGTCTCTTTGTGCTCATTCGAAAACTTAATATTTTTTTCCAAGATTTATTATGAAGTATGTAACTAGTATTAGAATAATACCGAGTTGCTAACATAAAAAAATCTATGCCAGAATTAAACCATTTTATAAATCACTGCTTAAGCGCTGATTTTCTGACGATTGTCATAATTCTGAAGACGTTTAAGTTGTCCTGGTCTATTTACTGTGTGAACTACGAGTGTCATACATGGTCATACTGATGAACTTCGGTCAATTTGGAAAATATAAGTTTTCAATTTAGAATAAATGCATCGTGCCTTCTTACTTTTTCTATTTTTCACACAAAATTCAATAAAGGTTAATTCTAATAATACTCGTACATCAGTAGTCATCAATTAGGAGACTTTCGACGATTCAGGAGATTCTCCCTTTTCTTCTTTGTCATTTTCTTCCGTGTTTTCTTTTTCTTCTTCACTTTCTTCTTCCGTGCTGCCGTCTCCTTTTTCACCTTTTTCTCCTAGCTGATTTTCTTTATCTTTTTCACCTTTATTCTTTTCTTCGACGTCATTATCTTTGCTTACTTCTCCATCTTTGTTTACTTCAGCATCCTTTTCATCTTCTCTTGTATCATCTTCCTTTTCTTTGTCAATCTGTTCCTTCTTCTTTTTCGTGTGGAACACGTAGTCGCAGCAGTGAGGATAAGCGTATTTGTTCTCTCCTGGTATCCTTATTTCATCTCCTTCCCCCAACTCGAAACGAGGACACCTTAAGAACAAATTTGAATTAAAAATATTGTTCACTGCAACAGAAATAGAGAGTTTCGTACATTGGTACACCATCGTGGAATAGCTGTTCAGGTAAGAATATTTAAGGATGCTTTGACTTCAAACATTGAAATTATTTGATATTTATAAATGCAGGGATTCGTGTAGAAGTATTGCTCAGTTTTTTTTATGGGTTTAGCGATAGTAATCTCTGGTTTTATTTTTTTGTAGACTAAACAAATGATTTTCGGAATTTGGCCAAGTTGAATACAGAAAAATATACTTACTCCAGATAGGATATTACACCACCAGGGTTGCAGATGCTCATTCTGCAATCATGTTTGGGGTCTGTCCATGTTTCTCCGGCCTTAAACTTCTTGTCCCCCACATGGCATTCAGCTGGACAAAGTGTTTTTTTTTTTTTTTTTTTTTTTTTTTACTCTACCTTTCAAAATGAAAGGAAAAACGATTTTATGAAGAAAATATAATGTAAGGATACATATTTGACCAAACAAGTATTGGCAAAGCTACAGAGGTTGAATTCTAGCGACTAGACAAAAAGGAATATACTGTACTATTACAAAAATTCAGAATACACGTGTACAAAACTGTCTGAAGACGAGATCTGCAAGTTCAAATTATAATATAACTAAAGTTCAATGTGGTCAATTGCACAAACAAGAAATTAAACCCCATCTTAACATACTTCTTCTTTCTGAAAAAAGTCGAGAAACAATTTAACAAAAGGTATTTTACTATTAAACGTATGAACTAAGCAATACAATTGGTATTTAGCAACATAATTATAGAGGTATAATATGGAATACGTTTGCCATTATGTAGGAACCCATTAGTTTATCAAATGTCGCTTAAGTAGGTTAGGTGAAATATCTTATGTGGTTAGGTTTAGTTAATGTAATGATATACTTTTGGGGATTAAAAAAATATTTTCTACTCTAACATAAGAATACATATTAGTGAACAGTAAAAGTTATCCTATTTTTTAATTTAATTGATGATTGAGAATATTTATTTTTCATCTGGCAAGTTAAAATAGCTTCGAGAAAAACACTGATGATATTTCACATTAATAGGAATAAATATGCTTTTATTGTAAAATGAGTCGATCTTCATTGTAAGATCCTATACGTGGGTTTCCCTTTTTAATTATAAGAAATATATTAATTGAATGCAAAACCAATTGGTTCGAAAAAAAATACACCCATGAAAGTGTATTTAATGTACCTCTAAGCCTGCAATCAAACAACAAAATTTTACTCGTAAGAGTGAGCCCAAAATATAAACATTGAGGTCAAAATAACTCACCTACAAGAGCTATAGCTACTTCTTCGTCATCATCGGTCTTCTTTTCCTCTTTAATTAACTCTTCCTTGTTCTTCGTAACAGTCATGGTTTCTTCCTAAATGTTATTGTTAACTATGTTCTACCACAACTCCCAATCAATGCAAGCGCATAGATAACGACGCCAGAGAAATAATCAGACAGTCTATCATAGTTTATTGTCTAGCAATGAATGAACAGCAAACATTGTACAACATGTTAACAAATTATGAACTAACACTTTGGTTGAATGTTTGTAAACAATTAATGGCAAAAGAACGGGAAATGACGCATCGGTCAAAGATGCAAGCAAAAAAAGCTATAATTGTATCTAAGCTGGGAACAATGAAAGAAAAAACTCAATGGAATTACAAACTAGGAACAAACTTCATTCAAAGGCAAGTGTTCATAATTTGTTTAGAAACTACGAGTATAGAGGTGTTAACAGGAAACCGTACTTACATAATTGAGTTAACATCACCCGATGTTGTTGTTTTATTTTGTCACGATTTTTTTTCTTCAAGTGGAAATTACGATGTCATAGCAAACACATTTGGGTATGGAATTAAATTGTACAAAGTTGTGACCATTAGGAAACTTTTTTACTTGGATTTTCTTGATTTTGACACTTAACGTAAATGATTTTCTTTTAAGTGCCTAATGCTCTTACAATTGAACGTTTCAATTCTAAATCAGTGAACGAAAAAATGTATTTAGTTTTATGTAAAAGTGTTCTCCACTTATCGTCGAAAAAACCTACCTAATATACTGTTTGGGTATGTATTTTTTCTACAAAAAAGTTACAATGTGTTTATTCAATTTGAACTTACTGTCTGAAAAGTCTATAGTGTTAGGGAATTTTAGGGGGGATTTATAGGGACCCTTGCAGGTAAGGTGTAGGGAATTTTGGCCTCATTGAGCGTGAACATCTTCATAGCAAATACAGAGACGTAGTAGCATATGAAGAATGTATTACTCGTTATATATATATGTATCACTTCATTATGATAATTCTTAAAATTCACTTTTGTAGCCCCTTAGTTTTACCTGAGCTGTTGTAGCTGGACATATTGTAAGACCTAATTACTTACGTAATTCCGTCACAGCTCAACATATTTTGTAAAATTAGGATGTGTTAAAACACCATCGTCAGCTTCAGGTACTTGTAGAGTTGATCGGTTGTAGACATCGAAACATTTGAAAACAGGCCTGCACTAACCCAAGTTGACCGACCGCACAGGTAGCAAAGGACAGACTAATTTTTTATATAGTAATTCATCTTTTGTGGCAGAGTATCACTTAACGCATTATGTAAATTATATACCGTGTGTTTACTCCAAAGACCACGAAAATGTTACTAAGTTAGACCAGATTGTAGGTTTTACATAACACAGTACAGCAGCAGTGTAATTGAAATTGGATTTTAAGTGTTTAACATATTTTAGGTTTTGCCGATCAAATGGAGTTCAACGAAAGGCTTATCAAACCAAAGGTCTGCTCAAGCACACATTGTATCACCGAATACTTCCAAGGTGTAAGAAATAGACATAAATTTGATGTTAACGTTTTTGGACTGGAGTTGGAATGGAACCACGTGTGAGTAAAAAACTGTAAAATGTTTTTATTCCTATATCTCGTGCATCGTAATTTGCTCACTATTTCGTATTTAAATCAAGTAGAAAATAATAAAGCTCTGCTTCCATACTATACAAAAATATGACTTAAACGAATCTATGTTTCTACTATGAAAAAAAAGTTTTTGGCGAGACAAAGTTTAGTTGACCACACAACGATTTTGGTGATAAAGCTGGGTACGAACTGGATATCGATAATTTTAAGAAAAGATCGGAAAAAGATTTACTAACCCTTACAACAATAACTATCTTTTCAGAACATAACTAACTCGGGCAACTGAAAGAGATGTTCTGCTATCCTAATGATTTTAGGTTTTCCAACAATTCATGTATTTCCGTGCTTAACACCTTTCTTTGCTTTGCAGATTTTTTATCTGCTTTGAAGCTGTTGTCTAGTACAAAGGCCTTTAGGCCTTTGAGGGTGAGGAATTATAAAATAATTATAACCATATGGTAATTGGCGCAGTTCGATCCCGGAACCTCAGGCTCGAAGCTCAGACCGGCTACCCCCATGCCACTAGTAAAGGTCACACCATGGTTACACGATGAATAGTAAATGATATTTAAAAGCCATTTATTTAGCAGCAAAGTTAAAATATATAGCCATGGTGTCGTTAGTAGAAATCGATCATTTTTACAGGATAAAACACGATCTAGGCCATCCAAGGTTAGACGTGGTAAATATATGCACCAGCAACAATCATTGCGTCATCATAGGACATCAAGATCGTCAACAGCTGCCGCCCATTCTGCAGACGTTTCTAGAGGCTCCTGACATAGTAAAGGTGACGTAGAAAATGTTACATAAATATTTCAGAATAAAGGACTTAAGCAGTCACCAGTAGTTCATAAAGTATAGAATATAAAAGAGAAATTCCAAGAATTTCGACGATCATCCATTTGTTTACTGTAATATTATTGATTAAAAAAATTTGTAACATAACTTTTCCTATACGAATCACCAAGTCTTTCTATATTACAATGTCATGAAAGTCTAAGATCCTGTTAGGTTAGGTTTTAAGTTAGGTCAGATTTTCCATTGTGTGTTTTTTTTTACAGTGGTAGTTGTGTTCCAATAAACTATCCTGTATGAGTGTTGATAGTGATGATTTGACATAAGTCTTGAAGTCATGTGGAAACAATAACAGTTAAAATGAGCTTGATACTATCAAAACATCCACTGGTCCCAGAGTTGTGTGGCAACCTCGAACCGGCCGGCCTGTTGCCATGGTAATAGCAGTAACAGAAGTATTCGCAGACGCTCAATTATGAACTAGTATAACCGTTCCAGTAGGCCGAAACTGCGGTGTTGCCGCTTTTGTCTCGCCACGGCCTATCATTAGAGGAGACCATGCTTCTAGGCGTAGTTTAGCATGATAAATAAGAACGATGAATGTAGAATGGAGTGAAACTCTTTGTTAATTTTTGTTTAAGACCATCCGATTGTCCGATTCTTTAACCATTACTATTACTTTAGGCTTGATAATGAAGGATAGCTAGGTCCCGTCCATTCATACAATCCAAATGGCACCAGGCGAGTGCTATAACAACCCTTCTACCCAGCTCTAAACCTTATGATGGAATCTGTCTCCTAATCCCCCGTCTACCTGGAGGCCATTGACTATATAACACTATGGAGACTTGCCAATGGTTTAGACCTGGGCCAGCTCCAGGTAGACGGAGGGTATCGAGACAGATTCCATCAGACAAAATTACTTGTTTCCAGGTAGGAGTTGGTATCACTGAGCAGACGGACATTCTTAGAGAAGTCTACGGCGTCAACGTACAGAGCGTAGTGGACGTCCGACATCTAGTAGATGAGGAGGGCTTCGACTCTTCCTCCATGACCAAGCTACCTTGGGTGAGTGTACGACAATATTTTAGATTAATCAGTTTAAAAGAGTCTAAACGCCCTCAGACGTTGATAATTTGTTCGGCAACAGTATTTCTTCTAGGCTAAAGAGGGAGATGTGTTTGACTACTATTTTGTCCTAGAACGCTAGGCTCACTCCGGGATTGTTTTTCACATTACTTCAGGCTAGGTTTTGAGGTTGCGGCATTTATCACTTTAAATAGGTTGGTGATTGGCGGGCTTTGAACCAGGGACCCCAAGGACCAAAGTCCCGCGCTCTTCCCCTGCACTAGCTCACCCTCCTCCCATGATTGGCTAATAGAGCGGTTGTATTTTTATACACAGCATATTTTCCGTCCCGGCTCTTACTAGTTCGGGTTTAAGCTTCTGTCAAACTAACAATACTTAAATCCATCAGGACACTACTAATAGACCGTCACAAAATGTTCCTGTTGACCGATTTTCAGTATTTAATCCAGGCCTAGCTGTTGTTGTGTCATGTACCGTGATTTCGTATTGTGTTTGTATGTGTGCTACGTGTGTGTACTTGCATGATAACATCGAAAATCGGACATTTTTTAAGCCCTGATAAGTATAATTATGACTGGGAAGATGTCGATCGCCAGTTAATCCATTACAAAGACACAGCTGAGACAGATAATAAGGTATGTAAAGTTTACCATGTCAAAGCAAAGAAAGGTGTTCTGCGCAAGTATGTTGGGGGGAGGGGGGAGGCAGGTAGAGTCCTCAGATATTCATTTAATTGATCACAATACAAATATTTTACAAATTTCTATCCTAGGAAACTGCTGTGTGATCTAAAAGTTATACGTCTTCAACAATTTTTTGCATTTGTCAAACTGCACACTCTGATAACCAACACTACTCCAAAAATACTTAATACTATTACTTTATTTTACATCATGTATTGATTGAACTGCATTACTAAAACCCCAAAAGATCCCTCAACTATGAATTTACGAACGTAGATTGTTAAGTAGAAATCGTCTTAATGATGGTGCTGCTCAAACCCCTTTCACTTCTGAAAGGATTCTTGCTTATTTCCTATTGTGATGTTTATATACTGCACATTATACAGACAATAAAATATTCAAGAGTCTTTATTGCTCTCTTCATACTATCTGCTTCCAGCATTCAATGAATGCAGTTAACAAACGTACAAAACATAATGAACAAAAACATTTAATAGACGAAAATGAAAATTCAGATTTACACCATCGAAATCAGGATAATTGACAAAGCCTTGGTCTTTAAACGGTTTTAACTCTCTAGCTGTTATAATGAAGTATTTCATGTTTTAGATCCTTGGCAAACATAATTTAACCTACAATAGTACGGAAAAGAGCGTTTGGCGTATGACCAGTAGAATGATCTTTGGAAGAGCTACAAAGGTGAGCATTTTTCTTTTTTAGATTTAAAATCAATTGCATTTCCTGAGATAAAAAAAAGGAATTGTTTTTCTTGAAACTATTGTCAAAAATCAAATGAAGAAGTACGACACTAGTTTTAGGAACTTATTCTAAATGCGTCTTCTAACCTAAGAAGACTATTTATTGCACCTAGATGTATTACCGACTATTGGAAATGGACTACTTTGGAGATTTTTTAAATCTTTGGGAGAGTCTTTTTTGAATAAGTAGTTGAATTATGTAAATCAAAATAAATTCAAGCATTTTAACATTTTAAATTTTTTGATTGAGAGTCTATTGAATATCAAAAGAAAACGTTTACCGGTTGTTTATGACGTGCGGAATTCAATGTAAAACTACAAATGCCTGAACGTTATTATCTTGGATGTTTCACTCTCTTGTGGGAAACAATTAAAAAATGGTTTTAAAATAACCAAGCTTTTTTAACAGTTTACATTTCTGTCAAGGTATGCATAAGAAGAAGGCCTAATTAGAAAATTAATATCTAAGTGAAATACATATTTGAATTATACTGTCAGTTCAGAATAAGAAAAAACCTTGTTTCCATATTAATTCTAAACTAAACCGTATGGCAAACTATAAACTTGCACCATGACGTTATTTCATTGATTGAGTTTACAATTTTTATGTATAGGTGTCAAACTTCGCTCTCCTCTACAACTCGCTGACGCTGAGAAGAGCGAGAGAGATGGCTGGCTACAGAGACTGGGAGATCCACAAGTACGGTCTGTTCTCAGAGATATCTCTCACTTATTGGAGAAAATACTTCAACCAACCATTCAACTATGAAGATAGCCGCGCTGCGAAAGCGGAACTTGTAGAAACTATGCTCGAACTGAGTGACACAAGGTGCAGAACGCTAGAGAGCGAAGACGAGTATTTGACTCCGAACATAGAATATTAGGAAGAAAATTCAATAATAGAACTGCGGATTACAAAGAGAAATAAAGAGGAAAAGGTAACGCTGAGCATTACAAAGAGGAATAAAGAGTCAACTGAAGGTAGTATTGAATATTGGATATCAGTATTCGATCAGTTTTGTTGATCTATTTTCTATAGGGGGTGGGGAATCAAGTAAGTATCGCATTGAATAATACGAAGAGGAATAAAGATTTAATTGACGGTAGCATTGAATAATGTTGTATGAGTTGAGAATTTGATTATCAGTTTTGTTGAGAACTATATTTGTCTATAGAGAAATGAAATAAAACATATTTTGTTTAGTTGGACGGGCAAAAAAAGCTATATGGCCCTTTCTTACACTTAAGCTGTACAAAGGAAATAAGGAAATGGAAAATGAGGAACAATCGCATTGAATATTACAAAGGATGAGCAATACACAGTAATATTCAATATTACTCAATAGGGAATCAGGTGTCGATTAACAGTAGCGTTGAATATTGAACATATTGTGAACATATTAGCAATACCATTCAATATTTCAGGACCTATAGTAATGATGGGTGGATTAATAGGAGCGCTAAGTTTTATAATGATGAATTAGAATTATATTGAGGCTCAAATTCTTAACATGAACATTGTAAATACCATAGGCATCATCAAAAGCTACCACTCTGTACATACATAAATTGTTTAAACAAACTCAACGTCGTTATTTTACTTCCTTTTTCATTTTCGAGAAAAATCAATTCCTAATTATTTCAAAACTTCCATTAAAACATGTGTTTTTGTTTGATTACTAATTTTGAAGCTTATGACAGTTAACTTAGTTTATCAGCTGTGAAGTAATGTAATAGTTATGGATTATGATATGACACATTATATGTACTGTACAGTGTTACAGCTCAACTAAGTGGTTATGCTCAAATGTCGAATATTGGGTACTCAAGAGGAAAGTCATTATGTTATGACACTGGTTATTGTTATCACATATGTAAGTGATGTTCTTTAACCAAAATTCGAATGGGGTTGGACATTCACGTCATTAATACACCTGAACAAGTACAAAAAGCCGTTGACAATTTCACTACGGGTGATCCTCTTGCGAATAGATTCCTCGGACTAGATTGCGAATGGAACGAAGTTCATCAAAGTGGAATCCCAGAAATCCCAGATCTTCTCCAGATAGCGAGACTGGACGGTTACTGCGTCCTCATCAGACTGAATGTTCTTCGCAGCATGCCTCGGCCGCTGAAGAATTTCCTGAACGACCCAAACTACTGGAAACTCGGCGTGGGTGTTGTGGAAGATTCCAAAAAGCTAAAACGAGGCTACGACGTATCAACCCAAGGAGTTTTGGACATCAGATACCTCGCAAGGGAGTTGAAAGTCAGACCGAAAGGAATGAGTTTTCTTTGTGAAAATGTGTTGGGAATCAAGAAATGCCAGTACAACCGTCATTTTTGTTGGACGCAGGAACATTTGAGTGATAGGATGCAAGAGTACGCAGCGACAGACGCAGTCAACGCGGTGAGGATATTTGACACTCTCAACCGTAGAAGACTCGATCAAAAGTGGGGGAGTGAGTGGAAACAGTGGACTGAGAAAAGGTATATGCACGAGACGGTTAACTTGTGGAAAAACTTTGTGGGGCGAACGTTTCAATACTGTGATGCCTATAACGACTCTAAGTATAGTGATAGGATCATTAATAACAGGTAGTTTTTCGGTTGACCTTCTTATTTTTTAATGTAAATTTTACTTCAAATACATTTCAATATTTTTCAATTGTTATTTAATACGTGAAAAAGTAAGCAAAATCTAAAGTACAACTTCCAATAGTATTGTCTAAGAAATTCAGTGTTGAACAAATAAGGCAACTAGATGTACAATTGAATTGCTGCTTTCAATATCAAGCTATGCAAGAATATTAATAATTTTGTTAAATCTAACGACGAATTGATTTATCTCTTTATAAAAAGGAAATAATTCCAAATATTATATTATGCTCATAATTTGTTACTGTATAATTATTTAAACAGAGTAAATAGATTTTTATTTAACTTTTACTAATTATTTACACACAATTTACATAAAAAACATTCACAATTTTAAAGTTCATTAAATTATGGCTGGATAAGGGACGTAAACATACACTCTTATCTGCGTTTTGTCACCCAACCCACATTACGATGATCAACTTGAGAAGGTGATCTTGAGCAAAGCCATATTCAATTGAATATTACACTTACAATGGGCTGAACACATAAGTGACCCTGCATAGTATGTTAATTTAAGACCCAGACACCCAGGGCAAACACTGACTTACCAATGTCAACATACAGCATTGATCACAGTGATCCCCTGGGCCCTAGGAGGGTAATGCCATTGGCGAATTGGTGAGAAAACCGTTTTCTTGTACATTATAGCCTACTTATTTTTTACGAATGGTATATGGTTAGGTTGAGAGTCATTGAATTATGTTCTTTGGCATCCATTGAAATGGACCAGAATTCGTATTGGAAAGTCGTCCATATTACTCACAGACCTAGATATATTAGGTCAATAAACGATAGCAATTACAGTTCCCCGATTACTGCTGCATAACCCTTGGGGCATCCAAACATTTTGACATAGCCTTACGTGATATATATTTTTTTTGTCCTAGGACGCTAGGCACGAGCCGGAACTGTTTTGCACATTATTTCAGGTTAGACCTAGGGGTTGCGGCAATATCACTTAGATAAAATCCATTGGTGATTTGGTGGGGTTTAAACCCGGGACCCCAGGAACCGGAGTCCCGCGCTCTAACCACTAGACCAGCTCGCTCCCCCACGTGATACATTAAACAAGGAGATTTATTCATTGGATCATTCGAGAAAGATCTTTTTAAAAAACCAGCAGCTCCGGTTGTTATCAAAACAAATTCAAGAATCTGCTAAACCAAGTACAAACAAAATATAACGGCCAATAGCTTTGCCTTTGCCGATGAGCGAATTAACTCACTCCAGTTATATTTTAGAGGAAGCATCCCCACATTTTTCTTTCCAAATGGTGCTGCAGATTTCTTATGCCTACATCAAGGTATCATTTCGAGAGTGATGTGAGTTGCTTGTAAAAAATAGGGACAAACTGTGTTTTCGAGATCATAGTTTCCGATTTTTCATTGGAGTACTATGCAAAAACACGATTCCCGTCGATATAATAAGTTTATAGTTTAGGGCGCGTTAAAATTATTTACTTAGTAGTGAGACAAATATTCTAACCATAACACCGATATCGTGGGTTTTATACAAGTGCTCTAAACATAAAAGGGATTGTTGTTGCAATAAAGGAGTGTAATTGTTTTTACTAATCTAGTTCACGTCTTGAATTCTTTGACCATGACCATGATGAATGTGTGAAGATGATAAAAAAGAGGGCAAACACATTACAAATTATCTGCGTTAAATAACCTGAACATATAATCTAGCTTAGAAGCCCTCACTATTACACAGGCATGACTAAATGGTTATTGTAACCCCTAGAATTATCATTAGCCGATAACGATTATCACTAAATCAAAGATAAGTAACACATCGGTTATGTCACAAGTTACATGATTGTTTACGATAAATAAAGTTTGCTTTAATCGTGAGAAACAAACAATATACCTGAATATAATTGATGTTATAGAAGTAAGTCCTAACTCTACGATATAATCAAAAGTGAAAAGTGTAAAATGACGAAAATCCGTAGCAATACAGATTAGCAGTTTTGTGACCACCAATAGATGATGAAGGAGCTATTTTTCACTTGATCTGTCTCTGACGCGATGGGAGTCCTAAGATGAATTATGTTTCGGACTATGTTTCAAAGCTTTTGAATGCAACTCAACTCCGCGACGCCATTGAAATGTGTGTGTTTTGACTGATGTCTCCAGCAGATATTTCTGCGAATACTCTAAGGTGAGTAGCGTTTGTTAATAGAGTGGGACAAGATTTCTTTTAATTTGCGCTGTGGCATAGTTGTTTAAGGAAAATGAGAGTGGTCAAAGTAAATATGTCATAACCGTTTTGTATTCAAATTACGTACAGTTACCATGATGCCGTGTGGAGTGATTCTTGTGCCATCCCAAACTTTATCTACTCGATTTCTGTATGCAATTAACAGTTTCTCATAGTAAAGCATTTAAGAAAGGACATTTTGAACTAAACGCCACATGGAAAAATGCTCCAAGTCCTTTTTGAATAAGAAAGTTCCTATATCTTGTTAACGTGGATGTGATATCGTCTTCGTATTCATATTCGGTCGGAAAGTGTTCTTTCAACTGTTTGTTATTGAATGTTTAGTGTTATGAGATGTTGATGCGAACTGACAATGGCCAACCAGGAAAACACATTGCGAACCCAACCACCTGAGCGGTCTGATATATTTATGGTAAACGATGAGGCACATGCATCCATTGCTGTGGGAAAACTGATCCGGCACACCCAAGACGATCTTAAGGTTTGTGAATTCTCGATTTGTTTCCTTTGCTGTTTAGGTATAAGTATTAAGCTAGGTCACTATCCAGAACGGGTTAAAAAAAACTGACACATAATCTAAATACTGCCATTTGGATTGTAATTCATAAATGTGTTTTACCTTATGAAAAACACAGAACTCTACAAGCCTTGTGAAAATCTTTCAAAGTCCAAAAATCAACCAATTTTACCTGGAAAGGTAATATGAATTTATAATGAGTACTCAAAAATCAAACCTTTTCAGGACAAAAAGAATCTATCCAGGAAGAACAAAATTTCTTCTATCAGCATTGACATCTGAGATATGTTTAATTTTAAATTTTTAACTTCGCAAACTGGTCTATTTTCCAATGGTTTAATATTTTGAAGGTATTCGGGGTTGACTGCGAATGGGATTTGGTTAGCAAAAAAGGCCAACCACACAAACCCGACGTTCTTCAGATCGCGACTGTAGACGGCTTCTGCGCCATCTTCAGACTTCATTTGCTGAAAAAGGTTCCACAAGAGCTTAAGGGATTTCTCGAGGATCCATACTATGCTAAGGTAACGATATGCAAAGTATATATTACTCCAGATTATACAATATCTATTTTAAGACCCGTTGTCTACATCATAGAAGGTTGTCCCAATGTTTCTATTGTACAACGGTTGTTTAGGAGTACCAAAAACCAATATTATCCGTACCACTAACTTTCTTCTCGAACTATAAGAGAATTAGGTAGATCAACAAAAAGATGTTAAAATTGCTTTGTTCGATATTTACATGAATAATTAATTCCAGTGAGTCCGGTGCCTTACTCGGTGGCGCCACGGGCTCTGGTCCATGGCAGCGATGTTGTGGGTTTGAATCCTCGTGTTAGCCACTACTTTTTATGAGTATTGTTCACCATTGTACTGTACCGGTTAACCCCTTGCTGTGCTGGATACGTTCCATACACAGGCCCAAAGCCTATGGGCAAATGTAAGCGTAAAAGAGGCCACAAACCTCTTGAAAAACACAAAAAGCGAACCGCAAAGAATGAAAGTCACCTTGGGAACCAAACCTAGACTTAAGTAAAGAGTAGTAAAGGAAGTAAAGAGTTATCCATTACAGTACATGAATTTACCTTAATTGTATGTGCAATTTAAGAGCGGGACAAAGCCTCTGAACAAAGGCACTTCCCTACCAATTTTAGAATCCATCGTGCTGCAGACTGAACCACCAATTCACACAAGCAATTCGATCTCTCTTGTTTTGATCCTTCATCTTTAAAATTCTTCGCATAACGTTTTCAACATTATGCAATTTATTTGTACCCTTCTTCAGGTCGGCGTGGGAATTATCGAGGACTGTGACAAGCTCAGGACGTACTTCGAGGTCAACACCGGTTGTGCGATCGATGTCCGCTTCCTCGCCGACGACCATAAGATTCTTCCCAGGGGCCTCAGTCACCTCACGAAGTCCGTCCTAGGAGTCGACCTGACCAAGCATCATCATTCCTTCCACTACTGGACGGGCAGACTGTCAGCCATTCAGAAACAATACGCGGCGTTAGACGCAATCTACCCTGCCAGGGTGAGGATTATAAGCCTGTTGGGTTTTTAGTCTGTACGTTGGAATCTGTATCCTGACCTTTCTTCTACCTGAGACTAGTCCGGGCCTTGAACCATTGACCAGGTAGCCATGATCAAAAAACAGGTTCCATCATACAGACTGTGCCGTTGACTAGGCGTTTTATGCCTTGATGCTAGTGTACTGAGTTAGAGTACCTACTCATGATGTCCCCAAGGTCAAATGATGTACCCAAACAAAGCTGTGAAACACCATGATCAGTGAGTCTGAGGTGTGGTTAAAAACAACTTAATCAGAATAAAAGGTACGCAATTCATTCTAAATTCGTCCAATATTATCTTAACCATCAAAGTACCAGTTTAGTATAAATAAAAACTTTTAACAGTAATAGTTAGGGGGAGGATTTTGAACATAATGTTGGTCCCGAAACAGCTATTTGGTACATTGGCGCAACAGGTTTCTGCCTTTATTCGTAGACTAATCATAATTTTCAATCAAATTTAAGAATCTTCAGATAAATTTGTAAAACAAGAGCTTAACAGTGAGAATGTTTTCTATAATTATGAAGATTCATTACATATATGTTCTTACTACCTGAAATGAAAGATCTAAAGGATGACATTAACTGTTCCAGCTGTTCTACAAGCTGAGCCACGAAAAACTCCTCCAGCTGTACGAAAACGAATGGCAAACCTGGAGTCCCGAGCAATACCACCAGAAATCCGTCGGGTTGTGGGAAAAATACGTGAACGTACCGTTCGACTTCTCAAAGTCCAACTACGTTAAGAGCCAGGTGATAGACATGATGTTGGCCTACGCCGACCTTTCCATGAAGGACGTAAAAGACCAAGCGGTTGTAGAAGAAGAGCCACCAACACCACCAGACTTTAAAGCTAGGTTCGCATCTAACAAGTCAGCATTGAGGAAGGCGAGGCAAAACGACCGAGCAAAGAGAGTCCCACTAAGGTTCTTCAGGGCTCACGTCCGTCGAATGATGAAGCAGGGGTTGGACTTGAGCACGATTCCGGTGGACACGATACCACGGTCCATGCTGGGTCCTGATGGTCAATTGGACATGGAGAGGGTCAAGGAAGAATTAGTGGAGTTTAATTGACGTTGAGTGTGAGACTTTGAATATGATCTACAGAACACGGAAGACACGTGTTATGAGGACACAATAGTGAACGAATCAATTCACAATTGAACTTAGAATTATTTCCTCAGGTTAATTTAGATTATTTGTTATACTAAACTAGCTAGTTCTGTACATTAAATCGAACACGAATATTTTAAAATTAATGTAGCAATAGTAAACTTGATGACCTAAACATAAAGTTGATGACCTAAAAGGCATACGTATCTTCTATTAACGGGGGTTTCTTTTAGCTAAGCTTAAGCTAAGACTAATTATATAGCTTGAGCAACTATTTTTAAATTATAATTTGCAAATTAATCAATGTATACGGCTACGTTTTCTTTTTAAGTATTTCCTAGAGTTTAACCAGGTTTTAACGTATTCATTTGTCAACTTATTATTTATTATTTTACTACAATAGTTTTTTTTTTTATTATTTACATTAAATACGTCCGGTCTATCGGAATTTGCTGGACCTAGTATTTTTACTTTTGCATGCAAAAATATTACATAGGAATGAGTTTAGCTTAGTGTGTCATATATTGTAGGACCGTTATGAATTGTACGTTTAAAAAATCTCAATACTTTTTTATAAAGAGTACTAGCTACAAATAAGAAGAACTAGAAAGCATGCAATAAATGTATGTATAAATATCGAAAATATTACCCTGCACAGGGCTAAGTCCAAGACATAAGCGATTGGCACCCTACATAGTGCTTTGCAGCAGGACCAACTAGAAAGGTTCTAGATGGTACTGGCTTTGCAGACCAGTCGGTTCTTTAGGAAAAGTACTAAAAATGATTTCTGCTCTACTTCGGTACTGTATGGGCATTTAAACGTTCCAAAATTAGCAGCAAATTACGGTTTAAAGTAATTAATATATTACCTTAGACGACACTAGGGATCCATGCACACCACAAACCTGAAACAGAAAAAAAAAACACATATTAAAGGTAAACATAAACACCACCACATTGACATTGACACTTTGGTTACCATTCTATTTCGTTTACGTATGAATTCAAAATTCGAAGTTATATATCAATTTCAACTGGCGCATTTTTGTGACACTCTGTCTACTGAATAGGCAGTGTAGGCCTACTGCATATTGATAACATTATTTAGCAAAGCTACGTGAGTCACTAAGTCATTTAAAACTCTTGTTTCACTACTTCTTTTAGCACAACTCATACACTAACTTTTGTGAATACTTATGACTCATGAAATGTGTGAAAATAAAACCAGATAATGCCCTACTAATGGCTGTTTAATCTCGATCACGTCATAATTATGGAAACTTAGCTCAGACTAGTCCAACGCTTGATTTGATTCGAGGCTATGCTATTCTGCGAATTGAACTGTCCGTAAATATTTATCCTTCCCCTGCAAAATTGATTGATACATGCAAAAATATTAACGCCAGTCAACCGTCTAGTAAACTAAACTAAAATGAAACTCTGGTCAAACCTAGAAAAGGAATATGACGAATTGTTCGGAGAAGGGGAGGGCGAGAAAAAAGAGGATAAAGAAGAAAGCAAAATGGAAAATGATTTTGACGATATGTTTGCCGACATAAAAAAAGATTTGAAGAAAGTGCCAAAAGAAGATCTAATACCGGGCCTGGCCAATATTTCAAAAGGAAGCGATAGCGAGGAGGAAGAAGAAGAGGATGAAGAAGAAGATACAAGAAAAGACTTTAAGAAAGGCCAGGCAATGAAGAAGAAGGGGAGAAGTAAGTTCTATGATTAATACATCAAATTTTTTATACTACAACAATATTACAAACTTACACCTTTTAGCAATGCCATTCTTAGGATAGTGATTTTCACTAATATAGCGTATAGTCTTTTAGACAATCATATTTTATTTCAATTTAAAATAAAAACTCGCCATACAGTGTTTGATTATTAATGCATCGTCTTAAAACTAAATAGTATTTAAATTTCAAATGTAGTGCTTGGTTTATAAAATCTTTCCAAAACCAAATTTGCGTAGCCTACCTCAGACAGAATGCTAGATGAGCTGATGTTATTGTGTACCTTATGTAAACTTAGATTTGGAGTGACCTGTCATTTATCTGTCTGTAAAATTCTTCAATTACAGGGCGATTTCATTTGAGATTTGACAAAAAGGCAGTCTTTGGAAGGAAGATTGTTATAAGAACATTGCAGATTATTTATGACGAAACGATAAAATACGAAGAATAGATTTGATCCCAATTCGTTATTTGTCGTTCCAATACATACATATTTTTATACGCACAATAAATAGGTTTTCATGAAGGTTTTCTTTGATTTTGTTTAGACAAAAAAGATATAAAATAAGCCTTATCTATTTTATTACCTGTGTAGTGTTATTGAATAAACCTTGTTGCACAACACCTTTGCTTGAATAAAATGCTAGTGCTATTGAATAAATCTTAGAGCTTCCTAATCTATTAAAGGCAAAAAGATTCTACACATTTGTCATTATTTCCTGAGATTTAAACCTTAACACCCCCCACCCCCAACCTTAACACCCCCCACCCCCAACCTTAACACCCCCCACCCACACCCTTAACACCCCCCACCCACACCCTTAACACCTTGCGTTGTTAGCATTGTAATACATATACAATTTATTATACAAATATGGTTTTTAATAAATAAATAAATTTTTTTCTAGAGTGCAAATTTGGAGATAAAACATACGATGTGGGCGAAAGATGGAAGGATCCAGTTACTGGGAAAGACATGATGTAAGATATGAGGTTTGACAATAGTTATATTATGATTGTTAAATTTATCATTTAACTGTGTTTTTACTCTAAATTTGTAGGCGGTCGTTCTAATTGATCCAACAACGAGCTAAATAACTTGCTTCAACGTTTGAACATTTTTAAAGTGGCAATAAATTGTAAGATTTCTGCTACCATAAATTGACAATGAGTTAATAACGTCTAAATTGATGAACTGAGTTATACCTAAATTGACAACAAGTAATTTATGTTTACAAATTGAAAAAATGTTACATTTGGTAGCTACTAAATTGCATGGAAATGGGTTGGGTGTATGCCTGCTTTACGTTATTCGCGTGCTTACGTTAAAGGTATTTGAGTAATCAAGGTCAATTGCAAGACATATATTAGAGGTCATTGGTATCTTAAAAACAGATACGCATACCAATTAGCAAGGAAAGATTTGAGCTAAATCTAGATTTAAAAACAGTATTGAATGTAACTCATCTATGTTTACAGATGTATATTGATGAACGTACCGAAAGACGTGCAAAATAAGTTGGCAGAAGCAGATGTGACTATTACCAAGGAAGAGGCAGAACCTAAGGAAGAGAAGCCTTCAAAGCCTTCGTCATCGGGACCCCAATGGGACTATACAAACAAAAAGTCGAAGAGGAGAGGATGTCCTTCAGACAAAGAGAGTGAGATGCCTGACTCTATTGGCAGTGAAGAAGAGAAGCAAAGTGGCAACAGTACTAACCAGGAGGACCACAAAGAAGAACCTGAAGGTATAAATATAGTTGATTCAGATTTACCAGACAAAGGAATAGACACTCTAGAGAGAGATGACTCGATTGATGACAAACCTGGAGAGGAGGGGGGAGATTCAACAGAAGATTCCAACCCAAAAGAAAACATCGAAAAAGAGTCCGAAGAAAACTCTGAGAAAACAGTTGTTAATGAAGGAAGAAGTGAAAGACTAGAGAACAGTAGAGAAGCTACAGAATCAGAGAGCGACACAGATTCCGAAGAAGAAAGACGTCGGGTTGATAAAGAAAATCACAATTTAGATGATTCAGAATATGAAGAGGAAGAAGATAAAACAAAACATCCAAATAATAAACCTGAAGTTATCGTGACAGCTGACGATAGAGAAACTGCAGTCGTGCACACGGATGACCAAAAAAGTAGCGAATCCACAAAAGAAATCCCTGAAGAAAAAACACTAAAAGAGAAAGAGGACCTAAATAAAGAAGAAAATTCTGAAGTAAATGAGAGTCATAAACCAGAAACAGCACCACCGTCAGACGAAGTCCCAGTCATTCAAGAAAAGGGGAAGACTATATATACGAAAGAAACTACAGTAACACAAAGAAAGTTATTCAAAACCTCAGAGACGATAGAAAGCGTAGAGACAGAGAGAAATGTGGATTAAAATATTTTAAACTCTTAAATGCTTTTCAAGAAGTCTTCCTTCATTTTAAAATGTAATATATATTGTAAATTGTATGTGTTCTGCTACCTGTGGTATATTGTGACTATTTAACATGAAACTGTGAAAATTCTCGTCTTGCAAAGACACCAATTTAACATTCTGTTGGAAAACAACTTTTCCTTGTAATAAATAGAAGCTGGGTCCAAAACTATAGTTTGACACTCAAACCAGCAACCATGACTGGTTCGAAGGAAGGCTCTTGAACCAAAATATTCTCCATGTAATTGCTTTGCAAAATCTTTATGAAAAACAACGGTGTTATAAAATTGAATCCCCTCCCGTCATGTTATGAAGTGTACACGTTTAGTATATTTTAACTTCCATCAAAAACTATAACATCGAATTATATAGAGGTCAAAAACGTGTTTTAAAATCCTAGAAGCACCATGGCGAGCTAGTTCACTGCTTAGGAAGGCGAGTGGTACAAGTACTCGCTTTCAAGTTTGATGGCTACTAGTTCGATCCTGGTTCCAAGCGGGTCAATTCTGGTTCAAGTAACGGTTCATTGGGATATCAATTATTGACCTTTCCTTACAAAAGGTCGTCGTTAAATAAAAAAGACCAGGGTTTGGAGCGTTCCTTCCATCAAAATGAATATGCTGCTTACACACAAGACAAAAAAAAGTTAAATCGAAGCATTGTCTTTCATGTCTCCAATCGGGATACAATAAAGTATATGAATTCTTGAAACTAAGCAAGGTTATTTAGTCAAGACGTGACTTTATAAAAGTAATTTAGCAACAGATGTTATGATAATATATATATAACTGGTAAAATATTTTCACTCGTAAAATTCCAACTAAGGTAAACTGTGTTGAACCTAACGGCTATTTCTAGATGTTCTACGTTGTGCTGCATTTTTTATGTAATGTTTCTCTGAATCAAATCTAAATAGTGCCAATATAATACTTAAATGTTTTATGATAAGCATTTGTACTGATAATGTGTGAAATTCACAAATCTAACCAAAGTCTTGCAAAAACATTTAGCACAAAGAACGTTCAAGCGATGAATACTCAAAAGATGTGTGTGTTGTTCGCATAGTACCACTTAACATTTTAGTGTCTTAAGATTCCTGTCACGGATGTTAACTTGTTTATAATCATCAAGAACACAGCAAGATTTTAAAATGGGACAAATAATAAGAAGAATTGACTGGGAGGATGTGAAAGACAGGATTACGGGAGAGTTGCAGGACGTTATGATCTACTTAGACTGGACATTGAGGACCATATTCATGGGCATTCCAAAAGATGTAATCGATTGGATTGACTATCACATATGGAATTTCAGAGCAAGAATGTCGCAAGATAGTTCCAACGAACATGAGGATGGTAAGAAAGAATATTGCAATTACTTTTTTATCCTGTGGTCACGTAAACCCAAGATGGTTTGTCTCCCCAACAATCCACCTCCATTCTGCTCTATCTTCTGTCATTTCCTCTCTTGCTCCCAATCCTCTTACATCATTCAGCACTTGATCCCTCCACAGCAGTCTTTGTCTTCCTATCTAGGAATGTACTTCTACCATTGGGTATACCATTATATGTCCGTTTTATCGGGCTGGTGTTATCCCCTCTTAATACATGACCCAGCCATCTCAGACCTTTACCTTTTATTATTGCAATTATGTCTGGCTCCAATTTTAATTAGTGGCATTAATAAATTATTATTCTGGGTATCTGATTGGTTATAGTGCTAATCTCATAATGGGTTTGTTCCAAAGATATTTCAGTAGCTTAATATCGTTCAAATTGGGTCTAGCGTTACTTAATCATTAGGGTTTAAATGGTCATGAATAAAGAAACAGCTGGTTAACCATAATATCAATTGTCAATCATTGAGATGGAGACATTCCATAGTATTTTAACCCAAATATGAGTGAAGGACGAGTGTAGAATGGTGTGTAATGACCTGTGTATTAATAAATCCACCCTGGTCAAATAACACCATTGTACAATGTACATACATACCGAGTTCCTCTAGGCGAATAATATGTAAACAGAATACTGGGTTTTGTAAGAATTAGTCGCCTAACGTCAAGATGTTAACATATCTGGATCCACACCAATTTCAGTCATGGGCCTTACCATCAGCAGGTAACCATCATGAATGAATAAATCACTGTACAAGTGTACATTCCACCTTTTTCCTTGATTTACCAGTTGTAAATTCCCTTTGAGTTGTATTTCAAAGACCTATATTGTTTGATGATTCACAGTTCTTTTCTAGAGTACTGTAGGGATAAGGAAGGAATTCACAAGTTGGGCGAAATTTGGTCATCAAGGAACCGATGTAACAAGAAGATATGCGTCGCTCATGACACCATCAAGGAGCTCAGGTAAACGAAAGTTACAATACAACCAAAATTTATAATCCTGTCAGGTTATTTGAGGGTCAATTTGCATTAGTAATAGGACAAAATGCATGTTCTGCCTCATTACAAGTTAACATCTGCTGAACATAAAGTTAAAAGGTAATCCCTAAATAGAGTTTTCATATAAGTTTGTGTAAGTATCTTCAATTATTGAGTATTCTAGTTGCAAAGAATTAAATACTCCCCACCGCAGCAAACCTACAGACTAGGTGAATTGTTAGTTTGTCTTATTGGTTTCAAGTATAAGATTTCCATAGACAAGTCATATTCATTCACTATTTCAATAACACTCGATTTAACGAGTTCTTAGGCTCGCTAATATGGGGACAGGATAAATGTGTATCCGATCAAATAGGATAAGATGAATAAATTTGCAAAATTTGATGAAAACCCCATTCATAAACTAGCAAACTGAAACAGTTTTTTTTTCTATTCTCTATAAGAATAACATGGGGCTTTTTAAATGTAAATGTTTTTTTTCCACGTATAACCTTTAATTGTACAACAATGTTTCATAATACAAAATTGTTTGATAAAGCTTTACAAGATGGCTCCAATGAAAATTTGGCATTTCCATGTTTTAAGGTGAAAATTTTATAACCCAAATATTTGACAAACTTCAAACCCCCATAACACCACATTGCCATGATCTTACTGGCTCGTGCACTCAATAAAGTTTATAAGCTCTATACATTCATGACGAATTTCATCAAAATTGATCATAAAATTACTCGATTTATCTTGTTTACGGACACAAACATAAATTTTAACTAATAGTGTTATTGGCCTCTAGGCACATAAAAATAAAAAAGTAAATCGGTTCCTGGTCTAGGTCTATCCACACCTACGGTAATAGCTACTTCCATATATAGAAATTCGCTAAAATGTAATCTAGACTTTCAGTTTCCAAAAATCTAAAAGATACTTCCATGGACAGTAAAATCACAGTTACCTCATTTTACAGGTGTCCCATAATCCCCAAGGACCACGAGGGTTGCCATATTGTCAAGGGTAACGTGAAAGACCCGTACCCACAGTGTTGTGACGAACTGAAGTGCCACAATACAGTCAAGCCTCGGCCTATAGTTAGACCCCATAAACCTATATGGTGGATCTACGAAAACTATATCCACTCGTGCAGCTCGGACAGTGAAGAGGAACTTTATCCCCACCCTTCCACCATCAGCGCCAAAGTCAGTGGCTTGGACAGAATTGACCAAGATTAAGAGAAATGAGTATAACGTACACAGGCCTTCTCAAAGAGGAAGAAAGAATACGGTGGGGGATGTATCTAGAAAGAAAGAAGTATTAGTGGAAAACTCCATAAAAACAGTATGTTTGAGATGGAGTAGGTGGACGACGAAAATAACAAAGAAGATTAAGGATAGAGATGTGCAGCCTTAAAGTATTTTGAAACTGGTACATAGAAATATCAATATTTAAGTATGTTTACTGATCATGGATGATTTGTTCAGCTATATTATTATAATGGAGAAATGAATAATGAACATACCAATAACCGGAATAAAGAAACAATAAGTAATAATTTTAATGTACAAATGAATAACTATCTAAAAGAATTATTTGTGTATTACATGACAGTATTAGAAAATAAATTTTAATTTAAAAATTATATTTAAATTGTTTTATTGACACCTATACAGTTGTATTTTAATATTACTTTGCTAAAAAAATATTGAGGTAAGAAATTTAGGATTTATTGGTGTTGACTTTTAAAATAATCTGGGAAGTGTTCGTTCTTGACTTTTAAAAAGAGCTTTAATACTTTAAGATTCCTTGGAGCCTTAACAAAAAAATTTAAGAACTACAAAGAAAACGTGTAATCTCACAGTATACTAGATATTAAAATTACAATCACTAAGGTGTTTGAATAATATTTTGAGATGGTAAATAACTCTTCAGCAGATGTTTGAAATTAACGAAATATACATTGCCCTTATGGCGGACAAATCCAAGATGGCCGTTAGCTTCCATGGACTCTTAAGTTAAACTGGTGTAGATACATTTTTAAAAAATCCAACAAAACAAGTTATCAACATTTAAATAAAAAAAAAACTTATTGACATGAGATGTATCAACGCATATGCACCAGGACATATGTTTGCATATGTAGTGGCACATACCTTTCCATATGGAAAAATACCCACAAAAATGAGAAAGTTAAACAAAAATAATCTACTAAAAATCTAGGTTTCAAAGACAGTTAAAGCTAATTAACTATTAAAATAAGTTATAGTACAAATATAAGTACTTTCGCTTCATACAGCCATAACGACCGTGGGAATACTCACTTAGTGCGTTTTTATCAAACTGTTATCAAACATCTTAGCCACTATCTCTGCTAACTAACGCTTCAGTCACTGTAAAGAGCGCAAATTCACACAATATAGCTTGTAGCACTGCAGTAGAGAAATTCAATGTCATCACGAGACAGCTAAATCAGATTTACATGGAATGCACAGGCAAAAAATACATAATCTATCCACAGCCAACACATGCACAGCTTATGTATTATGTATGGTAATACATAATCATAAGGAATCGCCAATATGGAAGAGGAGGAAGATATCAAACCAGAAATAAGGAAGCATTTTCGGCCTTATAGGACAAGTCGAGGTCAGCCAATCGGTGAGTTATTAAAAAGTGTTGTTTTGCTTAACACGTAAATTTACCTTAAAATTAAGTGAGTTTGCTAATTAAATTGTATCAGTTTTGGGGATAGGCGCTTAATATTTTAAGCAGTTTCCATGCTTCTAGGTCACTAATAGATTTAGTCAAAAAGAAGAAATCCTTATTAATTACGATTTGGATATAAACAGCACGATTATCGTAGGGCAAATAGTGCATTAATAGCGCTACGATACTAGCCTATTGGTAGTAGCATATCCACGGATTTTAGAACTGAAACTGTGTAGATCATCTAAATAAACAAGTGACGTCACTGGCCCGAATCTTATACTAATAACTGTAACATCTGGTATGAAAGCTTTTGATGATTTCGTTTGAATACAAATGCGAAAAATTCGTTTTTCGAGCCAGTGATGTCATGTGTATGTTTATAGTCCATAAAGTATTCTATTATGAAATTCGTAACACCCTTTTTATGTTCGTGTCGTATTACATTTGTGTTTTATGTAAAGTTTCATGAAATTTATTAATTTGGCGGCTTGATGTTTTGCAAGCTTTGGCAACCTTACACATACAACATAAATAGTCAGCATTTCGATGAATTAGACAAGAGACGTACACAGCCTATTTTGTCATATAAGTAGCCCAGGGCTACATAAAAGGGTTTTACATTACTAATTCACTAAGCCTCATTAAGTAAACCTACCTTCTTTAATTTTCACATTCAACATTGTGCTCTAGAGGGATGCTGGGACCACGACGGGTTGTTTACTGACATCGTCTATGAGTTTGGAGATATTTGGCGCAATCTTGATGAATGCAACAGGAAAACCTGCACCCGAGATGGCACCATACTCGAGGAAGTGTAAGTGTCACACTTGCAATATAAAAATAAATAGTTTGACAGTTTTTTCTATAAATGGACATCTTGTTTACCTCAAAACACGATACATGATGATTGATTTAAATCTTATCTTTCTACTACTATTGTCTGTGTTATCCCTTTCCTACGCTCTTTGAAAGTACTGTGTACTGTGTACCAGAAGCACAACTGATAATTCAACACTGGTCTAGGTGGTCAACTTAGATAATTTCTATTTATTCTTCTGCAATTCTTCTCAGGTATCAGTGACCTTTAAAGTTAAAGGCGAACAGTTACCACGCGACTACCAAGTCAATCTTGAAAGAGAAAAAAAACTGTTGGATCTTAAACATTCCTTCCACCAGCACAAACTCATTGATTGCAGTAACACAGCATCGCACTGATACTCTGAACTGATTTTCTGTCGACAGATGTCCGAAACTAGAAGTTCCCGAGGGGTGTATAAGACTCCGAGGTCAAACCCTTGAGCACCAGGACTTCCCCTACTGCTGCGACCGCGTAGTATGCCCGGGAGATGAGGAGTACACTGAATACCAGAACGACTGGTTACGCCAAATTACAGGTAAGCAGGCTTTAGATTCCTTCCATCTTGGTGTGGAGGTCTTCATTCATATGACTTAATCATAAAGGGGACAATGAACCTACTTGAGCTAGTTTAGGACTTTATTCTCATCGGCCTCTGACGTAGTCCTCTCTAATATATGCCAGTGCATCTACTTAACATTAACAACTTAACTTACCATTAACAAATATATACTTAAAGTATTTATGTTGCATGTTGTGTGTATCTCTGTTGACTCTACAGTACAACATTTATTAGCAACGAAAAAAATTGATTTGTAATAAAATCTATATACTTATTTTAAGGGGTTTCTCCGTTACATCAATTTTCCAGCTGGCATACTTACCCGATTTAAGTTCACGATCTAGTATAATGACGAGCGGTAACTGAACAAATTATTCCTTTCGGGGCTTTATTACCCTAGCGTTTGGTTTTTTCCCAATAGTTCAATTTAAAAGATTCAATTTTCCATTACTAACTTTCCAATAAGCAACTTACCAACTTTTTTCATAATTATTGCAAAGTTAAATTTAACAGCTGATCACTCAGTAAATTGTTTAACAGTCAGATTTTAAACAAAAGAAAACCCAGTTTATGAATATGGACTTTAAATATGCTACTTTTTGATAATCCTAACCTAATTGAGGTAGATATGTCACTCTTCGTATATCTCTTGGCATATATATGTCACTGGTGTATATAAAAAGCTGTACAAATGTATTTTTCTGTAAATTAGTATTTGTTTTCACTGAATAGTTGTCTTAAGCAAACATAATCTTTGAAAAGTAAAAGATTGCATTATTCTTTTTGCCTCTGAATCAGGTTTGAACCCTAACACGTAACTAGCGCACTAAGCCCCTTTTACTCAATAGAACTAATAATTATTGTGATTATTTTTTCCTACAGATCGTTGTGATGACAAGTACTGTGTGAGGGACATAGGAGAGGAGTGGTCCGAGCACAAGTACGGAATATGCAACAGGAAAAGATGCGGAAGAAATGAGTACAGCGAACCTCACATATTCGAGGAAAAGTAAGAGATTATAGAAATATTGATGGCCAAAATAAGTTAGCAAAATATTATAGACTAAGCCATTTAGTAAAATTAAGTATGTGACCTTTCAGTTGAAACCCCTAACATTGAACATTAAGACAGTGTTTTAAACGTTTGCACGTTCTCAACTAGTTATTGTACGTTCAGATGGATAGATTACATAATCTTACATTAGCAATAAGAATTACTATACATTTTATTGCCCTTGTATTTAGACGAGCCCAGAATGTGTGGCTGAGTCGGTGGCTCAGTCGGTAGCACCATAGACTTCTAGCCCAGGGCAGCGATGGCATGGGTTCGTATCCTGGTACCTTCCACTACCTTTTCTCACTACATTTCACCCTTGTACTGCAGGGTCAGGCTTATCCTTTGCTTTGCTAGACAGGTTCTAAACACATGCCTCTGTGACCATGTGGACAGGCGAATGCAAGATAAAAGATGCCGTCAACATATCGTTGTTTCAATTTCGTAAACTATATTGATCCTATGAAGTATCATGTGGTCATAATGTTTTTAGTAAGTGAGAACACTGGGTCTATTTTAGAATGTTGCTCTTCAGCCTTTGCTGCAGTAGAAGGTTAGGTAAGAACTTGGTATTACGGGTGTTATTACAGAGCAGAAGGATAGGAATCTATAAAAATATAGCCTACAACTACTAGGGAAGAATATCGTTCTCTGAGTCATGTAGGTTTATGATCCAAGCTTGGCTCTAGCCCGGGCAATCTTCACATAAGTTCAGGTTAGATCTAGGGGTTGTGACATTGTCACCCGAGAGAAATGCATTAGTGATTTGAACCCGAGGCCTCATCGACCGAAAAGTCCCGCGCTCTACCCTGCAACTAGACCAGCACTACTACCCAGACTAGGTACTTATACTAGACTAGGTATAGACTATTATAGGTAATGGTTGCAAGTAATTGAATAAGTCACTGTGTATTCACTGTGATTGTTAGTCTTGTTGTTATTGTTGTTAAAGTGGGTTAGGTCGGACTGGTGGCGGGTTGGTGTGTGATGGTGATGATCAGTCCGTCCCTGAGTAAGCGAACGGCCAGGAAACAACAAAATCATATAACTAAGTTAGAATGAATGATTAGAAATAACAACAATGTGACCCTACCAATTTCGGAACAAATAAAAGCGAATCGAGACCTAATACATAGTGCTTGGAGTAAATACTATTGTAAGTTGCTTTTGCTGTAAATGTATACCATCTCTGTTTTTTTTTCCACCTTTTATAAGTCTTTCCACGCTACTAAAAGAGCTTCGTTTTTCAGATGTCCAAAAGTGGATGTCCCCAAAGGATGTCGTCTCGAGGGTTTTCCTGATCTTACAAAAGAGTTTCCTGACTGTTGCCCAAAAGTGGTTTGTCCTCCAGGAGGAATTGCAAACGAGAAGAAGTATACCGCAAGCAATATGGAGGAACTGCTAATGAGTGATACATACTTAGAGGAAGAAGAACGGATGTATAATGAAATTATTTCCGGTGGTGACACACAAAAATTCAAAAAAGAGACTACAAGTGAGCAACTCGAAAAGAATTCGTTGAAAGTTGCTAAACAGGAAGGAAAGGAAGATAGTACTCGTAACTCAACCAAAATCGAAAATAAGTTTATTAATTTAAAAACTCGAGATGAACTTGTCACAAGATTCATGAATGCAGCGTTTATTTTATTTAGAAAGAATGTAAGTGACAAACATGTAAAAGACAACCAAACAAGTTATATTATAAACAATGGGACGGTCAAAAGATCAAGTAAAAGTAGAAACAAAAAAGACAAGGAAAGAAAGATACATGATAAAGAAAGAAGAAGAAAACATAAGACAAAAGACAATTTGAAAGACCAGTTGGATGAAGAAACAGTTATAATAAACGCAAACGGTGGTGAAAAAAGTAAAAATGAGAAGTACAAAACAAAAGATGAAAAATCAACCAAAGCAAAAACTGAAGAAAAACTAATAGGAAAATTGAAATCGACAAAATTTGCTGGTACTGAAAAAGAAAACAAAGAAAGACGTTATAATAAAAATGAACAAAAAGAGAATAAAAACAAAGCAAAAAAGAGCCGTGATAGCGGAAAAGAACTTTTGAAAGGACTAATAAAATTTCCAGAAACGTTTACTTAAATTGTTAACTAAGTGTTACCTTTACTGAAAAAAAAACTTTATAAATAAAATAATCCGGTAACACGTGTTGCAGTTTACTATTACATACACCTACTAAAAAATATTTTTCTGCCTAGATGGGAATTTACATGTTTTAATCGTCACTCCTAATCAAGAGATGGATATTAGAAAATTGAGGGGGGTTTCATTTGATTTTTATTTGAACACACATTTTAACTGGATCCCAAACATTCATTTGCGTTGCAAGCACCACTTTTTATGGGTTTTTAGGGATGTTTTGGATTTAAAAGCCTCACAATCGTGGAGCTTTAAAAATATCACCTTATGGATTTGTACGATTTATTAACCAAAACATTTTTGTATTCCTATGGCTTTCATAGAAAGAGGCTTATTATTTTGTGGGTACAGTTCGTTATTGAAAAATTAGATTGGCCGATAATGTAAGTGGCAACTGTATTAAAAAAATTCAAACAACCATAATCGCATTGGAACGTTTCATATTTTAGACTGTACGCAGCAGCTGAATAGGAAAATATTATATATATGCACATCTTCCAAAATTAAATAAGCAAATGATTTAACTTGCATATTAAACGGAACGCGCAAAAAATGTTTACATAAATTATAAATGAACCGTATAACTGTTGTAATTAAAGATTTGCAGAGAAGATTAATTGGTTAAATTTATAGCAAAATAATTTCGATCGACACAAATGAAGGGATAAGATGGAGATAAGGAAAAAACCTTGTGACAAAAACTTCAAGGTGTTATTGAGATTATCCTATTTCATTGATGAATTTTCAAAACCAATGACGTCACCCAACAACAAACACATGATACGCTTACTCAACTAGTAATTATGATTATCTTATCAGCCAATAACCCATCCGTTGACGAGACTTTCGAAATGAATCAAGTCAAAATCGTACAACGCAGTTTCAAGACGGATAGTGAACACGATAACGGATAGTGAATAAGACAACTACTACAATGAATCTTAACATTCCGTACAATAGTTATAGCTTCAGATGAACCAATTTGTTGTGTAGTGTATAGAATGTCGCTTAGAGAACATCGAAGCTCCGTGTGCAAAGTGTTGCCTGTGGCAGCTGTAGGGGTCACTAGACCTAGCAGGAACAGGAAACCGAAACAGAAACAACCAGAAGGTAAGAGAAACTAAAATTATCGGGATAAGTTTGTATGACTAGTTAAAGCTGAGGTTTCATATGTGACTTTTAGAGCTAGGTCAACCGCAGTTTACCTTAAAAACACCCTTTTTGATCAGTTACGTTAATAAATTGCGTTTTTTATTCGTGCTTCACAACTAATTGTGGACGCAGAAGAGAATGTGTTGATATTTGATCAAAAGTAGAAAGCAGCTACACATTTCTTAACTATAGGAAAAATTTAACTTTACCAATTGTCAGTTGCCGTGCCCTTGCGTGGTTAGCGTCGGAAAATATTCCTACTATCAGCCATTTCATACAGTACCAGCATTTCAATTTATATAGTGAATTGCATTTAATTAACCACATAAACCACATAAACAAATCTAACTAAAATTCTTTCAAAATCCCTGACATGGTTATCTTTAAGACGGTCCCAGGGCTAAGCTCTGTAAGTTGTCACAAAATGTTGTATAAACCTAATCTATGAAATTCTACATGTCACTATGTTGTACATGTCTTTGTGTATGTACAAAGTTTCGTGGCCATCGGTCCAGCGGTGTCTGAGTTTATCACAACCAAACATACAAATATACAAACCAACATCCTGTTTTATTCTTATAGATAAGCAAAGTAAATAAAAATAGAGCAAATACACTCTGGACTCATTTTTACTGGTCAATAATTTATCTAAAGGTTCTCCTCAAAACATTGGACGTTTAAGACGTAGCCCAAGGGGACTTTTAAAGCATGAATAATTTAACATTCACATTAAGAAGATTGGTTCTTATGTTTGTGTACTCATAAGCAAACTTGCACACAGAAACCATTTTTCTTTTTAAATGTCGATGAAGACTACATTTAGTGACGGTTTCGTCATTTGTATTGTTTTTCTTACTTACAACAATGAAAAGACTAAATAAGACACATGTTTCAATGTTTTATGGTTGAGATTTCTAAATCTCTACCCTCTGACTTGACACCTTTAGTTTCGTAGAATCTTATAAGTACTTCGGTTGAAGGGCTCCTAAATTCCTAGGTTTTTTAATTAAACTTGATCTCTAATTTGAAAATCCTTGTTTCGTCTCTTTGTACGAAGAATATTATCTAAATAATCTAATTAGGAGTCTCGAATGAGGTAAGACTACCAATATTGTTTATTAGAACTTATAGTAAAGAATAATAATTATTTTAAGTTCCAGATTTCTGCCGCGACAACGGGGTCATTTACGAGGTAGGATCAGAATGGTCAGACCCCGGGATTTGTAACCTCAAGACGTGTAGAAGCGGTGGCATCGTCGAGGTTCGAAGGTATAGTAGCTTTCAGAGTTTAACATTTGTTGTCGTGTCCCATACCTCAAGTTAATAGTTTTATGTTGCATTAAATTATTTACCTACGACCATTTTTTAAAGTAGCCATTTCAGTCCAGTTCTTAGAATTGAAAAGTTTTACTTTACAGCTGTTTACTTTCATATCCGCATAGTTTCATTTCATATCCGTATAGTTTTCTCATATCCAAACGGGTAACGGACCAATGAGGTTCAAGTAGGTATTGAGAGAAAAGAATTAAAATTGTAATGCTTCGAACGTCAACTAATCAGCTGATCAGCTGATCAGTTGACCAATATAATTGTTGATCCGACTTGTTCATGTTGATACTCGCGTATTCTTAATTAAGTTGGTGTAAGTCCAAAAATAAATTAAATATTTGCCGAATTGTACCTGATACAATATTATTTATGGTAAGAATGCTGCTAGCAATGTAATATTTAACGAAGTTTAACAAACACGTAATTACAGGAAATCAGCTGATTATACAACAAGTCGTTGCATCACTTTCAGTGGCAATGACAATACACGAAAACATAACCTCTCTAAAAAGTTATCAGTAGTTATTGTTAGTAATTAAATCCAGATTGATAGTAATTAAAAAACGGTCGTAGGTAAAGTAGTGTACGCAACTCGCGTTAATAGTCTTTACGACACTCGTAGAAGTTTTTAAGGCACTCGCCAAGGCTCGTGCCTTAAATTTTCTACTCGTGTCGTAAAGACTCACTTAACGCAATCGTTGCGTAAACTACTATTGTAACACAGTTAATCTTTGCAAACAATTTCCAAACTGTGAAGGACTTGATTCAAAATACCTTGGCCCAGTAAAATAATTCAAGTGCTTTAACCAACGACTACCGTGAACATTTTTAACCCTATCTCCCGTGATTTACACGGTAATCACAACATTCATCATATTCTTTATAATCGTTGCTTTTAAAATATTACAACAAAATTTGGAATCTAAATGAAGGAACCTCCTATTCAAAGTAGAACCCTACGTATAATATTTTCAACCAACTATTAATTTATCTCCTAAGCCATTCTGTTTTGCAGATGCCCATACCCAGAAATACCCGATGGGTGTACCCTGGGCCAACCTACCATTGGACAGACCTTTCCCTACTGTTGTCCCAAGGCTGAGTGTTCTGCTAGGAGACGAGATTCATCATCTTCGTCATCATCTTCATCATCGTCATCGGAGGACCCTGACTACGAAGACCTTGACGATGACGACGGCGGGGACGACGGTGGTGACATGACTATGGACTTCACCATGATGGGGGTCTACATTGACGAGCCTGTAGAAAAAACTCGAAAGGAAGAGGGTACCAGGGTGTCTGAGAAAAGACACAATCATCTGAATGAAAAAAATAAACTTGAGCCAAAAAAAGTGGAGACAGGCAAGGATGGAAGATGCTCGGAACATTGGAAAAACAAAAATGTCAAATCTGAAGAGAGAACAATGGATCGCACTTTGACTAGTTTTAGCTCTGTAAAACTAACACAAGATGCGAAAAGTGTTACAGTGGAAAAAGATCTCAGGCACTCCGGGACTGCGAGTATGGGTAAGAATAACAGCAACATTAAAAGTAATAATTGTCAGACTAGTGGGATAGATCTTCGCCACAACGCTGTGGCGGGATTCAAAACCAACCAGCTTCAAACAGATGCAATAAGAAAGCCGGATGAACCTGACAAATGCATTGATCGTGAAACCAAAAATATCGATAAATTGGTTGAAAACGTAAAGGAAACAAAAATGGAAACTAATCAAACCGAAGATGCAAGTTTACCTATAACGTCGGTAAAAATTGATATTGTCCAAATCAGAGAAACGAAAGAGGACAATACTCTGAACAAAAATCAAGACAGTAAAAATATAGCTGTAGAAATAGTAAGAGTCGAAAAAAGCACAGTGAGTAAAACAGATGGTGATGCGAATGTTGTTTCTGATAAATCCGCTGGACCAATGTTAAATAACGCAGAGAACAAAACTGAAACAATTATCATTGGTAATAGTTCACATGCTACTGAAGATAAAAATGCCACACTAGGAGTGAAAACAGTCGCCCAAGAACTGAAAACCTCTGACATGAAGGTTGATGGTAATAGTAACATGGTTGATGGTAGTAGTTCACATGCTACTGGAGATAAAAATGCCACACTAGGAGTGAAAACAATCGCCCATGAACTGAAAACCTCTGACATGAAGGTTGATGGTAATACAGGTGGAATTCAGGGTCAGGACAATATGACACAAGACTGTAAAAATGAGGAACCTGCAAAAATAAGAAATGCAACAGCCGGCATTGAAGATCTCAGTATTAAAGGCCAGGATATTTTCCAATCTGTTACAAATAGCCCAAACATAGACGCAACTACCAATCACAATCTAACTGAAGGAGAGATCAGCAAGAATGTGACTCATAATAAAGCCGACAAGACTGTTGAGGAAAATATAATAAAGGAATCTGGAGCAGAAAACACAAATAAACAGGAATCACAGAGTTTGGAAAGCAAGGAATACAAATTTTCAAATCCAACTCAAAATT